CAAAAACCTCTCCAAAAGAAAAAAAAAGAGAGAGAGAGAGAGAGAATAAAGGAGAAAGGGTTGTGGTGTTGCCATCCCCCTGGGGCTGATTTCTCACTGTCCTTCTGTGGCAAACTAGTCAACCATAATAATCATTGTACATGAACTTTTGACCATCTCCTTATGATAAGTAGGACTGCTGTTTTATTGCCAAATCCCAACACCCACCGTTTTGCTAAATCTCAGTGGTCACATCTTATTCCTGGCCTTGGTTGGCCTGTCAGCAGTATTGGCCACAGCCCCTGGCCCCTCCTACTTTCCCCTTCCCCTCACTAGCCACTTCTCTGCGCCCTCCTTGGCTGGTTCTTTCCTGTTTCCCTGACCTCTTAGAGTCCCATGCCCTGAAGATCAATTCTTGACCTCTTTGCCTATGTCCCCTCCCTTGTTGATCTCCCTTAGTTTTGTGACTTTAAATATATCTTCTCTACCTGGACAATTCCCCAGTTTATATTCTCGGCCTGAATGCCTTCCCCGAACGCTACATTGGTACAGGCGAGTTATGTGCCATAAGACATCTCTACTGGGATATTGTAGAGGTCCTCTGTATTGCATGTTCAAAATAAACTCTTGGGACCAGCAGATGGCGTAATGGCTATGTTGCTGAACTCTACGAGTCTACCGCGGTTTGAGTCCAGGACTTAACTCAGGCTGGGCACGTGTGCTTGCATGCCCAAGATCCCAAGAGGAGAATGGAGGAGAAGGGATTTTTGCATGGCCATTCCCCCAAGGGGTGAGTTCTCCTTTCTGTCTTTCTGTCTCTCTCTTTCTGGTGAGCATACGCACCCTATAGCAAAAACCTCTCAAAAACAAAACAAAATAAATAAAACCTTAACCTGAGTTAGCCAGTGGTGTGGGGGTTCAGGTGAACCACTGTCAGCCATATGGGAGTCTAGTACTTTAAATACCAAACCACCTGCTGGCTTTGCCTGCGAGGTTCTTAAGAAAGTCCTTTGAGGCCATCAGGTGGCATGGTGGTTAAGGTGCCGGACTCCCATATGGCCAACTATGGTTTGAGTCTTGGACCTGGTGGCTTGCTTTCTCACTTTCCCTCTCTCTCTCTTTCTGGTCAAATTAAAATAATAATAATAATAAAATAAAATAATAATTAAAAGAAAGAAGGCCCTTTGGGGGGCAGCAGATGGAGTAGCAGTTATGTTGCTGGACTCCCACATGTCAGAACGCTGTTTGAGTCCCAGACCAAGTGGCTTGAAGATCACACCACGTATGTGTGCATGCATGCCCAAAATCCCAGGAAGAGAGTGGAGGAGAAGGGACTGCAGCATGGACATCCCACCTGAAGGGTGATTTCTCACTTTCCTTCTCACTACCTCTCTGTTTCTCTCTGGCCAGTGCACACACCCTATGGAAAAAAAAAAAAAAAAGAGTCAAAGATTTAAATACTGAAGCCAGAAGCTTGAAAATCACCCAGGGTGGGGCCAGCAAGTGGCATGGTGGTTGAGATGCTGGACTCCCACATGGGTGACCACAGTTCAAGTCCCGAACCTGGCGACTTGACTTCTCACTCTCCCTTTTTCACTGTCTGTGTCTCTCTGGTCAAAAATTGAAGAATAATGATAATAAACATTTAACAAAATAGTAAATCTTTAAGAAAAAATCACCCAAGGTACAAAAGAGATTGTAGCACGGCCATTCTTCCCGGGTGAGTAATTTCTTACTTTCTCTCCCTGTCCCCTCTCTACAGCGAGTGTACACACCATATAGCAAACTCAAAAAAGCATCTCAGGGCCAGCAGCTCTGCCATCAGGCTGGACCCACATGGGAAGCTCCCACCCTGATCCCAGCTGGTTGAGGCTAGCGCTGGATCATGGTGTGAAGTTAGGTTTCTTTCTCTCTCCTTCTTTCTCTGTCTCTCCTGCTCCTGAGAAAACATAAAATAGGACTGCCTGATAGCATGGTGGTTAAGGCACTGGATCCCATGTGACTGACTTTGTGGTTTGAGTCCCAGACCCTGGGACTTGGAAAGTGCACCAGATGAGTGTGTATGTCCAAAATCCTGAGAGGAAAATGGAGGAGAAGGGATTATGGCATGGCATTGCAGTGTGGCTATCTGCCCTGGGGGGTGATTTCTCACTTTCCTTCACTCTCTGTCTCTCTTTGTCAGGACATACGCCCTGTGGCAAAATTAAATAGTAGTAAACCTGAAAACAAAAAATAAGTTTCAGTAGAGAGTTGGGGACCAGGAGGCATTTTTATGACACTTGAATGAGATAGAGTTTGACTGTACCTGGCACGTAGTAGGGCTCTCAATAACCACTGGCTTTCATTGTCAAACTCTGAGACACCCTGGTGTCTTGGCACAGTCTCTGGTTGGTTCCCCTCTGTCTCCTTAATGAAGAAAGGCTTCATGGCGTCTTTTTTTTTTTTTCCCTCATGGTGAGCTATGCGTGCTCACCAGAGAGTGACACAGACAGTGAGAGGGAAAATGAGAACTCACCCCCTAGGGGTGATGGCAATGCTTTCAAAAAGGTCAGTGAAGGAACCAGCAGATGGCATAATGGTTACGTCGTTGGACTCCCATGTGGTTGAGGTTTGAGTTTTGGACCTGGTGACTTGAAACTCACTGGCACGAGTGTGTGCTTGTCCAAAATCCTGAGAGGAGACTGGAGGAGAAGGGATTATGGTATGGCCATCCCCCTACGGAGGGCGATTTCTTGCTTTCTGTCTCTCTGTCTCTCCGGCAAGGGCACACGCCCTATCGCAAAAAAAAAAAAAACCTCTCTGAAAAAAGTTCACTGAGAATGTGTACACTGAAAATGTGTACTAAAACTTATGCGTGGGGCCAGCAGGTGGCATGGTGGTTAAGGTGCTAGACTCACATAGCTAACTCAGGTTCAAGTTCTGGATCTGGCAGCTTGCTTTCTCACTTTCTCTGTCTTTGTCTCTTTGTGGTGAGCACATGTGCCCTATAGCAAATTTAAAAATAATCATGATAATTATAAATAAAATTAAATAAACAATTCTTTTAAAAAAATTATGCATGGATTTCTGGGCCAGGCCCTAGGGGTTAAGGGAAGCCATGGCTAACCATGGTTCAAATCTTGGCCTTGGAAACTTGAAAAACATACTGCATATGTGTGTGTGTGTGTGTGTGTGTGTGTGTATGCCCCAAATCCTGACAGGATGGAGAGATGGAGAAGAAATATTTACTTATTTATTAACTTGTCAGGGAGAGTGTGTGCTTGCCAGAAAAAGAGAGAGAGAGAGAGAGAGAGAGAGAGAGATAGTAGCCCTCCAAAGGGGTGTGATCATGCACAATCACTTCTCCATTTTTCCATCTTGTTGAGGTTTGGGGCACAACGCACATATGTATTTTCCTTTCTCTTTTTTAGAATTATTTTACTTTATTTATTTATTTGTGTATTTTTATTTGACCAGAGAGGAACAGAATGAGAGAGAGAGAAAGTGAGAAAGGAAGCTGGCAGGTCCTGTATTCGAACCATGGTCTACCATCTGGGAATCCAGTGCCCTTAACCACCACACCACCTGCTGGTCCCACATGTGTATTTTTCAAGCTGCTAATTGCATTTTCCTATGACCTTTAAAAAAATAATAAACTTGTACTTTATTTAAAATATTTTATTTAACCTGGATTTATTTTAAAGAATTATTTATTTAATTTTATTTATTATTATTATTGCTTATTTTGACCAGAGAGAAACAGAGAGAGACAGAAAGAAAGAATGACAAAGTAAGCCACCAGGTCCAGGACTCAAACTGTGGTCAGGTATGTGGGAGTCCAGCACCTTAACCACCATGCCATCAGCCAGCTCCAGTTTTCATTTATTTATTTATTTATTCTAATTTGATCAAAGAGAGAGCGAGCGAGAAAGAGAAAGTGAGAAAGCAAGTGGGTAGTCCTGCAGGTCCAAGCCTCGAACTGCAGTCAGGCGTGTGGGAGTCCAGCACCCCTAACCACCATGCCACCTGCCAGCCCCTAAACTTGTACTGTAATTCCATTTTTCCATGAGTTTTTTTTTTTCTTTCTATAGTGTACATGTGCTCTCTGGAGAAACCTGGGGAGGTAGGAGAGAGGGGAGGCATGGAGAAACAGAAGAGCACGCCGCAATGGGGATGGTGTGCCACAGTCCCCTTTCTTTCGTTCTTTGCGCAGAACACATGCATGCACATGTGCCTGGCGTGTCTTTCAAGGTACCCAGTCTAGGACTCGAACTATACAGTCATCTATGTGAACCAGCCACCTTAACCACTATGCCACCCAGCTTGGCCCTTTCAGGAACTTTTTGAAGTCCCCTGATATTATGACATTTTGCAACTCTAAGCCTCCATTTCTGTAGGTCTCCCTAGTTGTGCTAACTCCTTCAGGACTGTCCCTTATCCAAACCTCCGCTGCCTTTTACCATCAGTCACGTAACCACGCACTATCTAGGATACAGGTTTTTGGTTTTTTGGCTAGAGGGCACATGTTCTTACCAGACAGAGAGAAGGAGAAAGCTCCTTCCCTGGGAATAGTCATGCTGAAATCCCTTCTCCTGAATCTTTCCCTCCTGTCAGAATTTTGGGAATGCACACACACATACCTGGCTTGTTTCTCAAGCCGGTATGGTTGACCATTTGGGATTCAGCTGCCTTAACCACCAGACCAAGAGCTGGCCCCGGGTACTATTTTGTACAGACCTGAAGCCTGGACCTTTATCCCTGACCGCCCTGTGTCAGTGTCCAGCACCTCGTAATAGGAGCTTAGTGTTTGTTAAGCTCTAGATCTGTGGTCAGGAGCTGGCCATGGCTACTACAAAGGCTGCTGCCCTTCAGGGAGAAACTGAAGTGAGGCCAGCCAAGCTCGGGTGGAGGGGGCCAGGCCAGCCCAGGGCAGGGTAAAGGGGTTGCATTGTTCTTAAGTGGAGCATCAGCTCTGCTTCTGGAGAGTCACAAATTCTCTAGGAAGGCAGGTGATGTCTGATGGCTCCCATCTGCTCCAATAGACACTCCTCGCCCTTCAGAAGGAGCAGGACAGACTAAAGATGAGGCTGCAGCAGCTGCAGGAACTGAGGAGGGAGCTTAGGAACTCTAAAGACAAGGTAAGGTGGAAGATGGGGTGTGGTCTGGTAGAAAGGAGCTGGGGAGTTCAGTTTCACTCCTGGCTATCACTTCCTCTATGTTATTTGCGCTCTCTGAACCTCAGTTTCCTCCTCTGTAAAGTGGACCTACCTGCCTCCCAGGGCTGTGTAATAACAAACTGAGATCTCGTGTGTAAAGTGACCTGCATTTATTAGTGAGTGCATTTATCCACTCACTAATCCAGCTCTTCTCTGAGTACATCTATTTAGCCCTTGTATTCAACATCGGTCGAATGGAATTGGGGGTGCTTTCTGCCTGGGAGCGAGTGGGGAACTCTCCTTCCCTTGAAGGCTGTGCCACCCTCCCTTCCCCCACCTCCAGGTCCCATTCCCAATGCCCGAGGTGCCCCTGGTATTCCGAGGACGCACTCAGCAGGGCAGGGGAGCACCCAAGTCTTTGGTTTCTGACCTGCGGATCTGCTGCCCTCTGCCTGGAGGCTCTGCTCTGGTCATCTTTGATGACCCCAAAGGTGAGCTCAGGGGGAGTCCGTGGAGGGAAACCAAGAAGCTCCTTGTTACTGACTCTGACCCCTCACCACCAGTGGCTGAGCAGGTGGTGCAACAAAAGGAGCATAAGATCGACATGGAGGCGTGCCGGCTGCGGGTGCAGGTTCAGCCCTTGGAGTTGCCTGTGGTGACCACCATCCAGGTGACAGAATGGCAGGGTCGGGGCATGTACCTGGCACAGGGAAGTGAGGCTGAGTCTAGGATGACTCCCTCCTGTCACTTCCTAGGTGACCAGCCAGAAGAGTGACCAGAGGGTATTGGTCAGTGGGTTTCCTGCTGGACTCAAACTGAGTGAGGAGGAGCTGCTGGACAAACTGGAGATCTTCTTTGGCAAGACCAAAAATGGGGGTGGTGACGTGGAGGTTCGGGAACTGCTACAAGGGAGTGTCATGCTGGGCTTTGCTAAGGAAGGAGGTAAGGGCCTAGTGATGCTTCCTACAGGCAGATTCAGGTACTGGGTGCATGAGGCCCCAGGAAAAGAGAGAGTTTAATGCTAAAGGCCCACCCCTTCCTGTTCCCCATAGTGGCCCAGCGCCTGTGCCAGGTTGGCCAGTTCAGAGTGCCGCTGGGAGGGCAGCAGGTCCCTCTGAAAGTCTCTCCCTACGTGAGTGGGGAGATCCAGAAGGCTGAGGTACGTGGAGGGTAGAGAATGGGGATGGGCCAGGTCATCTGTCTGTCTGCTACAAACTTGCCCCCACCAACCTCTGCCCCTGACCCCTTACTCCCATGAGCCTTTGCCACTTCCTGGCCTTTTCCAGATCAGGTTCCAGCCAGTGCCCCGCTCCGTGCTGGTGCTCAACATCCCCGATGTCCTGGACGGTCCAGAGCTGCACGACGTCCTGGAGATTCACTTCCAGAAGCCCACCCGTGGGGGTGGGGAGGTGGAGGCCCTGGCGGTCGTGCCCCCAGGACAGCGGGGCCTGGCGGTCTTCACCTCTATGTCTGGCTAGGGGAACTGCCCTTGTTACCACCCCACCCTCTGCCAAGTTTCCTGAACTGGGCTGGGGTTGGGTATAAGAGATCTTTACGCTTCCCCACAGCGGGTACAGATTCCAGATTGTGAAACAGCACCAGGAACAGTAAAAGTGCCTGGCTGGCGCGATGTTCTTCCTCATTTCATTCATGAAAGGAAACTTGATTTGGGCATGGAAGGAGGCTGGGGGAGGGAAGAAACCCCAACTTTCCACTAGCGCACTGGCCTTCCAGGAGCTCATCTTCCCCTGCGCTCTCAGAGGCACACATCCAGGACCCAGGGTTTGGCTTTTTATTGACACAAACACAAAGGCAGCTGTGGTAATGGGGTGGGGTACACAAAAGCAGAAATCGCACTTCACACGTTTATGCCTCCTTTACACAGTGAAGAGGCTAAGCCCCTCCCCGTCACCTCCCATGGCAATGGCTGGGGCAACAACCTTTCCTAATCCCAGCTCTGCGAGCAGAAGGAATTAGACCCCTATCCCCAATGTCCCCACTTTGGTTCCAGTGGCCCAGGTCCTAGTTACCCCCCACCACTTACTCCCCGGCTCTATCTCCCCACCCATGTAAACAAAGTTTGGGGCTGAGTTTGAAAAGCTGCCTCCCTGCTCTCAGGAAGCAGAGGGGCCTCCCTTGACAGCAAGGGGAATGTGCTTTGATTTTTACTTTGGTCCCAGAACAAGAAACCAACAGCATTGCCTCCAGAGCTCTGGCTGATAAATGCCACACTTATCTGCAAGGCCGAGATGGCTTCCCTGCCGCTCTCCCCTCAACCACCGATACAGACAGGACATGGCACAGACCACGATGAGACTGACTGGCTTTCCCCTAAAAGGCGAGGGGCTGGCCCTTCACCCACTGGCACACACACAGATTTTTGGCAGTGTTGTAGGACTGGGGAAGTGTAAACCCCCAGCTCCACCAGAATGAGGAAGGCACTGGGGAGTACGGGGTGGGGAAAGAGGCAGGAGACAAGGACTGTCCCCACCCCTGCCACACACTCGAGCACAGGTGTTCCGTTGCTAAGGCACTGAGAACAAATCCACAGAACTCAGTGAAGGGTAGGGGGCTCTATATCCCTCCTGGAGTCACGTTCCCCGCCCTTGTTGTAAGAAACAGCCTTGGTTAAGAATGGCAGAAAACCTGGTGGTGGAAGAAGCCCAATTGTGCTTAAGAAGTTGGGGACAGTGGACAGGATTGGGGGGTGGGCGCTGGTGGACCCAGGCTGAAGGGACACTAGGGAGAGACAGGTACATGCTGGACTCACACAGATTGGCCCCGTATCCTGAGCTGACATTTCAGTTCTTTGGGGAGGTGGTGGGGCAGGGGCGGGAGGGAAGATGAGGCAGAGCGGAAGCACACAGAACAGGATAGGGAGGGATTGGCTAACCTTGGCACAAAAGCAGCACAGCAGGCCCAGGGAAAGGGTGGGGGCAGGAAGCAGCCGCCTCCCTCTGGCCCTCCCTGTCCCCTTGGCAGGTCCCAGACATCCAAGTGGTCACTTCCCAACCTCTTCCGAGGGTGGGAAGCAGGGAGGAGACGGTCCTGACTAAAGAGAACGAACAAGGCGGAGGAGTGGCCATTAGTATAGAGACCTTCGGGGGAGGGAGGACAGAGCCTTACGATAGAAGATGAAATGCAAGAGCCTGGTGGTCAACAGAATGGGCTTCCAAACCTCTCCTTTCCCGGGTCTCAGAGGTCCACAACCCCTTGCCCTAGTTCTCTTTCTCGGGCCCAGGAACCAGGAGGACCTTGCCCACGTTCTTCTTCTCCTGCATCTGCTTCATGGCATCGGCCACCTGGAGAGGAAGAGAAGATTCTGCTTCCAAAGCCATCCAGCCCTTATCCAACACAAGCCTGCCACCTCTTCCCTGAGAACCCTCCCCTTGAGACCCCAGCCTTCATGCATACGACCCAGGCTCTCCCTGCAAAGAATTCACGCTTACCTTCTCAAAGGGCCAAACGGAGTCAATGTGGGGTTTGATGCGACCCTGGTTATACAGAGCCAGGAGGCGGGCCACCACACTACTGACCAGCTCTGTCTCGCCATCCAGGTAGCCCAAGTGGTAGCCACACACAGCCCGGTTGGCCTGCAGCAGCTGCAGAGCCGTCACACTGAACTGATTCCACCACGTGCGGGCCAGGGCCATCAGGTTCCGCTTGGGACCCGTGAGCAGGTTGGCCATTCCTGAGGGGCAAGGTGACACAGCCTGTGAATCTAGGTGCCAGGCATACCCCTGCGTGTTTGAATCATGCTCTTCTGCCCCACCATGGTCCTCTTGCAATTATCCACACTCGTGTAAGGAAGTGACAGGATAATCCCCAAATTCCTGGTTACCAAGCCCCAAACAATTCTAGCTAACTTAAAAATTGCTCTGATCTTTGTATATTTTTTATGTGAAATATTTTTTAAATGAAATTATAGCTTGCCCAAGAAGCCCAGGAGTGTAAGACAAAGGAAGGGCAGATTGGCTGATTTTGCATCAAGAATAATCTTTAAACAGGAATAGGGAAAGGGAAAGAACACAGATTTTACTATGACTCCCATGAAAGTTGTGAAAAAGATTGATAGTGACTGGCACCCAGAAGGCAGCAATCTGAATGCAATACACAGAGACTATGTCTAACCCTGATCTCTACAGAGCACCTGTGTGCAGACCATAACCTTCCAGGAGCATTCCTAGCCTTGAGCCTCTCTACAGAGCACCTGCATACAGAGTTGTAATACACAGGACCATCCCTTTTTTTTTTTTTTTAAGAATTTTTTAATTAAATTGTATTTATTATTATTATTATTATTTAATTTGGCCAGGGAGACTCACATACACTCAAAGGGAAGGTGAGAAATCAAGCCCCTAGGTCCAGGACTTGAACCATGGTTGGCCATGTGGGAATCCAGCACCTTACCATCAAGCCACCTACTGGCCCCCAAAGGACCATTCCTACCCCTGATCCTCTCTAAGGGCATCTGCATAACAAAGCTCTAATGTACAGGACCATTCCAACATTCCTCACCCTGATCCTCTCTACACAGCACTTTAGACCTTGCCCCTTCTTCATTCATACACCCTAGGCCCCTATACCCTCCCCTTTGAACCCACCCTCTTGCCCCTAACCTTCCTCTGTCCTAGCCCAATAACTCACCATAGGTGACGACTTTGCCCATGGGCTTGAGGAGGTTGTAGCCCTTTGTAGTATCTGATCCGCCCAGAGGGTCCATGACAATATCCACTCCTGTCAAAGAGTAAGAGAGCCCAGGAACAGCATTAGGATCCACAGATCTGGAGACATCCTCCCTGTCCTGTGCCATCGTACCCCCTCCCACACCTAGCACTCACCTTTTGGGGAGATCTTCTTGATTTCATCCACATAGTCAGTCGTGTGGTAGTCTATGGGATGTGTGACCCCATTCTCCTTCAGCACCTCATGCTTGCTGGCTGAGGCTGTTCCAAACACTGTCACATTCTCCACTGTACGGCACAGCTGCACGGCTGCCATGCCCACACCCCCTGCAGCAAGACACCCATATGCAGGAGATATGGGGTAACCTGGCCACCACTTTCCATTCTAGCCTCCCAAGGACTAAGCCCATTGCCTTCATTTTTGCCTAGACTCATTAAGAGGCCCATATCCAATTTCTGTGATTGGGATTAGTGCGGAAGGGGCCTGGAGAGGAAAAGGTGCAAGATGAGGGCACGTTGCTAAGGACAGCAGACAGGGCTGGACCTGGTGCCTGAATGTTACCACGGCAACTACTCTACAGAGGCCTCTAGGCAACACAGGCTGAGGCAGCCTGGCGTTGCCATGACAACACTCCAGACAGGCTGCAGGTTAAAGACCTAGAAGGAAATCTGGGTGGGGTACAGAGGGGGAATAAAGAGAGGGGACATGTCACCTGCAGCCATGTGTACCAAGACGCTTTGGCCAGGACGTAGGTTGCCAAAGTCAAAGAGGACCATGTAGGCTGTGATGTAATTGACCAGCAAGGCAGCAGCTTCCTCAAAGGTCATGGCCTCAGGCATCAGGAAGGTGTGTGCTGAGGGCACAGTAACCTCCTCCTGCCACATTCCTGACCGGTTCAACACCATCACCCGGTCTCCTGCCTTGAAGAAAGGAAGAAGAGCATCATTCAAGCACTCTCACCAACATGCAATTTAGTGCCCTCCCACTATGTACGGATCCTCTTTGAGATGAAGTAGCAGTGGGAGCAGTAGTGGTAGTCATGGTAATAATAACGATACCCTCATGAATAACAAGAGTAACAGCTTACCCTTACTGAGCACTCACCAAGGACCAGGCCCTATTCCAAATGCTTCCCCACCCCCAAATGCTTTCTATATATAAACCCTCAATTAATCCTGACATCAGCTCTTTGAGGTAGATACTATCCTTATCTCCACTGCACAGACCTTGTACTTTGCTATTACGTAAGATCCCTGTATGCAAGAAGCTTACAGTTAGGGCACGTGAAGTGTTGTTCAAGAGATCACACTGCTTCAGTTACAGAGGGAGACTCACTTCACCACTGACTGACAGTGTAACCTCGGGCAAGTAAAAAGGATTTAACCCTTTTGAGCTCCATTTTCTTATTTGTAAATTAGAGCAGTTATGAAGATTAAAAGGGGAAAAATCAATGATTTTAAAATTCTTTTTTGAAAATTTATTTATCCATTTGTTTATTTTAATTTGACCAGAGAGAAAGAGGGAAAGTGAGAAAGCAAGCCACCAGGTCCAGGACTTGAACTGTGATCAGCCATGTGGGAGTGTCTAGTGCCTTAACCACCACACTACCCGCTAGCCCTACTCAATGATATATTTTTTTTCTACTCAATGATTTTTTTTTTAAACTTAATGGATGTCAATGATTTTTAATATAATGTCTGGCATGTGGTAAACATTTATAAAAATAATAAAAATATTTTTAAAGAATTATTTTATTTACCTTTATTTATTGTAATTTGACCAGAGAGAGACAGAGTAAGAAAAAGAGAGAGAGGGAGAAAGTGAGAAAGCAAGTCACCAGGTTCAGTATTTTTTTTAAAGATTTATTTAATTCCATTTGTTATTGTTATTTTTTAATTTGACCAGAGAAAGAGAGTGAGAAAGCAAGCCACCAGGGCTGGAAAGAGAGAGAAAAAGGAAAATGGAGAAAGCAAGCCACCAGGGCTGGGACTCGAACCATAGTCAGCCATGTGGGAATCCAGCGCCCTTATCTACCACACTACCTGCTGGCCCCACCAGGTTCAGTATTTGAGCCACAGTTTGCCATGTTGGAGACCAGTACCCTTAACCACCATACCACCTGGGGGGCCCAATAATACTATTAGTAGTGAGGGGGTGGGACCATCAGGTAGTGTGGTGGTTAAGACGCTGGACACTCCCGTATAGCCAACCATGGTTCAAGTCCTGGACCTGGTGGCTTGCTTTCTCTCTCTCTTTCTCTGTGCACGTGTGTGTGTGTCTGGTCAAATTTAAAAAATGAATGAATAAATAAAATTAAATAATTATAAAATAAATAGTAGTGGGGGGGTGGAATCAGACAATCAAATAACTGAAGTACAGTACTTGATAAGGGCCATACCAAAGCTGTAGGTAAAGGTTTCTGAGCATTTAGGGTTGGGTGTGGTCATCTTAGGATGAGAACTGGGGACCCAGAGAATACCTACACCTAAAGATGGAGCAGAAGGGTGATGGACAAGGGGAGTCAGTCGCACAGTTCTGCCCACCAGAAAAAGTATCCCCGCAACCCCAGTATCAGCCTAGAGAGCCTCTTTGCAGGAGAAAAAGGGGTCAAGGACCTTTCCCTCCAGGTTTTTTTTAATAATAATTTAATTCATCATCATCATTATTATTATTATTTAATTAGACCAGACAGAGACAGAAAGGGAAAGTGAGAAAGCAAGCTGCCAAGTCCGGGACTTGAACTGGGGTCAATCATATGGGATTTCAACGCCTTAACCCCTAAGCTATCTGCCAGCCCCTTTCCTCCAGTTTAGGAAGTGGAGTGCAGGGCAGGAAATGGGGAGCATCTCAGGAGAAAAGGTCTCCCTTCTCCCTAAAGAGTGTAGAGAGGGATGTGTGGGTGTTGTTCTGGGACAATCTGGGTCTGTCTTGGTCTCTGATAGGAATGATGGGAATGCTGCATATTAATGAGACAGGATCGATGGGGAACAAGGAATGAACTCCCACACATGCACACGCCCTTTGTCATGTCCTCAAGTCCCCACACTCCATTGAAGAGGAGGACTGAGGATAAGTTGGGATCTTTCCCTGCAAGTTCTGGTCTGAGATAAGGCCTGGGGGACTTCCCCAGTCCTCTTTCCAGGACTCAGGATTCACAAAGGTAGAAACAACCCTGGTTTGCTAGGAGGGGTGCAGTAGCCAGTCAGGATGGTGGCCAGTCCCATATAGGGTCCAGAACAAACCCTCCTTATCCTAGCTTATGCCTAATCCTCATCCCATCACAGGTCAGGGCCATGACCCTCCCCGGCCCAGATATCAAGAGGGCCCTCTCCACAGAATCCAGGCTCTTACATCAGATTCTTGCTCTGGACAGGACATCCTGTATTTACCCGGCGGAAAGTGGAAAGTGGGGACAGGAGGTTAGGTGGGTGACCTTCAGCAGTAACATGAACTACAACGCCCTCCTCTCCCACCACCCCTTAAAAAAATTCCTCTTAGGGGAACCAGCAGTTAGCGTAATGGCTATGTCGCTGGACTCCCACGTAGTTGACTGCGGTTCGCATCCTGGACCCGGTGGCTTAAAACTCATGCTAGGCAGGTGTGTGTTCATGCCCAAGATCCCGAGAGGAGAATGGAGGAGAAGGGACCGCGGCGTGACCATTCCCTTTGGGGGGTGATTTCTTGCTTTCTGTCTCTATTTCTCTCTCTCTCTGTTTGGCGAGCGCAACGGGCCCTATAGCGAAAACCTCTCCAAAAAAGAAAAGTTCCTCTTCGCACTTTCTCCAGAGTGAGATTACTTAGAAGTCAGTGGGAGGGTGGGGCCAGAGCTGAATTTGGGGAAAAGCCCTTTAAGGAAGTGTTGTTTGCATTCGGATAAATCAAAGAAATTCAGCTCTTGTATCTAGGGCTGTCAGATCTGCCAAGAGGAAAGTTGCACCAGGCTGCATCTGGAGCCTGATTTGGAGAACAACAACAACAACAAAAAAAACAAGCTGTAAACAAATGATGTGCAGAGGCCTCGACCCAGGTCTCTCAAAAAGTTGGTCATTTGCAACTCTCCAGTGTCTGGGGTTGTGGCCAAGATTAATGATAAATGAGGAGAAACAGACCTGCAAAGCTGGGCCAACCTGCTCACAGTGCCACACCCCCCACCCCAGTCCAAAAGGGCACCGCCGAGATTTCCCAGGCAAGGGGTCCTCCGCGGGAAAGCTGACCGGGTTCCGGCCCGGTGTTCCCCAGGGCAGCCCGGGGTCGCGGCACGCAGGCTGAGTCACAGGAGGAGGAGATACTGCGGTCACGAGAGACAGCACAAGACAAAGATCTGGAGACCCGACACTGCCTCTCCCACCCCAGGACAGGACAGGCAGTGGGGCGGTGAGCGAGCAAGGCTCTCTCTCCTCCATGATGGGCGTGTCTCATCTCGCAGCCCTGCCAACGGGAGGGGCGGCCTCACACTCCCACAGACCACGGGGCTGCATGTGACTGGGCTCTGGCACGGCCACTGAGTCCCAGCCCAACCCCGACTACATAGCTCTCCGAGGTCTCTCGGGACAAAGGAGCACTAACAGTCACTCAGAGTCACAGACCACAATTAGCTGGGGAGTGTTTAGTGGGCAGGGGTACAGGTATGGTTTTACTGAAGGGGTAAGGGCGGCAAGGTCATTGTGCGCATGCGCAAGGCGCCTTATTGTTCCCCCCCACCACCACTACCATTGCTACTGGGCGGCGGCCACAACTGAAAATGGTTGGGGAAGATCGATCACGCCAAGCCCTCTCCCAATAAATCCGATTTTACAGCAGCCTCAAAACATAGGTTCCTTTCCTATGCCTCCCATGTCCGTCCACCATGTCCGTGCCAGCCCCGCCGCCCTGCCACACCCCCGGCGCCCGCCCACTTGTGTCCCAGTGCCCCGTGGCCTGCGCAACCCCTCCCTGCCCTGCCCTGCCCTGCCCTGCCCCTGGCTGGGCCGCTCACCTTGCGGTCTGTGACTCCTTCACCCACTGCGATCACGACGCCCGCACCCTCCATGCCCGGAGTATGGGGCAGCGGCGGGGGCCCGGGCGAC